AGTTATACAACAAAATTTGTTTGGTAGCTCACAGAGGCCAGCAGCAATAAAACAAGAAGCAGCATAGTAATAAATAACCATAGTAAAAGTATAAGATATAAAGTAAAAGGAAGGCACTTAGCACAGCAAATAACAAAGAAAATACAATAGTATTTACAATATGACAAACAGTATAAGATAATATAACAGTATTTACAGTGTGGTAGTTGAGTGCAAACATTAAACATTAACGCCCAGTAAATGACTTTGTACATTAGCAGCAGACATGATATGGGGTAAAGGAGAGAGAGTTAGCTATTGTGTGCTGGGGGAGGGGTGACACAGGCTCCAGCTCTGGGAGCTGTTCTTTAGTCTGTTTGTGTGGGTTCTGATTGCCCTATATCTCTTCCCCGATGGGAGGGGTACAAAAAGTCTGTGACCTGGATGGGTTGGGTCCTTGATGATGCAGCTAGCTCGCTTCTGTAAACAGCTAGCATACACGGTGTCAAAATTTGGGAGTTTGGTTCCAATGATCCCCTTGGCAGTTTTAAACTAATAGGAAGGCAACAGTAACTCTTGTTGCCACTTTTTAAAACGAAGGTATGCAGCAGAGCATCTCTGAATTAATTGTACCTTAAAGCAGATTAGCTATATCGGCAGAATATCGCACTGGTGTCTTCAAGTGCTGGACTTGTAAACTAAGAACAGGAAACAGAGGCTACAATTCTCACTGGCTCACTAAAATAAAAAAAAACAGAAGATTGCAAAAACATTTCTCGGTCTGATGAGTCTTGATTTCCCTTGTTACATTTGCACTGTAGAATTTGGCATAAACAACATGAATCTACCTAGTATTATATCAGCAATAGAAGCTGCCAGCAGTGGTGTAATGTGCGGGGGATATTTTCATGATGCTCTCTGGGGCACTTAGTATCAATTGAGCAGCATTTAAATGTCACAGCCTGCCTGAGTATTGCTGCTGATCATATTCATCCCATTACAATTGTACTATGCCCATCTTCTAATGGCTGCTTCCTGCAGGTAACACATCATGTCACAAAGCCCAGATAATCTCAAACTGGTTTCTTGAACATGACGATGAGTTCACTGTACTAAAATGGCCTCCATAGTCACCTCATCTCAATTCAATAGAGGATGTGATGGAATGGATATCATGGATATATAGCTGACAAATGTAATCATGTCAATATGTGGACCAAAAGTCTGCAATGTTTCCAGCACCTTGTAGAATTTATGCAACATAGAATTAAGATATTTCTGAAGAGGTCCAACCCAGCGAATGATGTGGTACATGAAGGGGCACAAATTATATCTGTATTATAATTCATTCCACAGAAATATGAAATATGCTGTGATGACAACCAAACTCTAATCCTGGTTCTGACCGTGTCACTGTGAGGGTCTTTTCCACTTGTCTTCTGATAAATTGACATTCTTCATTTTGTCACATGTGAATTTACAGTGTGCACTGCTCTCACTCTGTCCCTCTGTTGGTGCGTTGTTTGCTCACAGAGTAACAGTAACAGCTGCCTGTAACATGGACTTCAGTCGCTTTCCTCTGGATTCTCAAAGCTGTTCACTGGAGCTGGAGAGTTGTAAGTAAATGTTTCATCTGATGATAAGATGGTGCACATATCAAGTATTTCATTATTAGTAGTAAATACCAACATATTATCTTCTTTTTAAATTGTATTGTCTACCATGTACTCTGTTATTTCTTTGTTTTGTTTTTTGTAACAGTTCCTCTGTATTTGAACTGAGAATTGCAGTTAAACCCGTATAAAACTGACAGACCATCATCTTGATGCATCAGCAGAAGTGGCAAAAGTGCAGACAGGGTTACAAAGTACTCCAGTAAAAGTTGAAGTACTGATTCAAATTCTTTACTCAAGTAAAAGTCAAAAGTAAAAAGCAAAGAAACAGGCTCTGAAATGTGCTCAGAGGAAGAAAGTAAAAGTAGATCTTTTTGAAAACATTTGCCCCAGCTGTTTTTTATGTAAAGCCAACTGAACCTTGTGCTATATTAATGTAATACAGTTATATTAGTACAAGTAAATCTATACTTGTACCGTGGTTCAGGGGGTTGGGAAGCTCATCTTGTAAGCGGAAAGTTGTCGGTTCGATCTCCAGCTCTGTCTGTCTTGGTCGTCGTGTCTCTGTGCAAGACACTTCACCTACTACCTACTGGTGATGGCCAGAGGGGCAGCCTTGCTCCTGTCAGTCTGCTCCAGGGCAGCTGTGGCTACAGCTATAGCTTGCCTCCACCAGTGTGTGTGAGAGTGAATGAATACTGGGATTGTAAAGCGCTTTGAGGGTCTCGAAAAGCGCTATATAATTGCAATCCCTTATTATTATACTTTATTTCAGTCTTAAATTTAATCCTAATGAATATACTCAGCAAGCAAGCAGAGTAAAAAAAGGGTGAATTTTTAAAAGTAGCTCTATTTTCTGTTGCCTCTGTCTGAGGAAAAGAATCAAAACTTTTCTTGGTGTACAGGCTGTGGTTAGCCATGCTTATACCAACTTTATGTAGCAAAACTATATAAAGTTGGTGAACCACATTCACTGAATTCATCTAAGCATCATATACTTAAATTCAAATTAATGTCTGCTACCCATTATGCAACCCATAGCCACTGTGCACCAGTCTAAACACTTTAAATCCAATATGGCAAATTAAACTTCAGAGTGTTTTTGCAACCTTTTAAATAACACAAAATCGTTAAACACCTCAATTTGTTTAGCAAGACTTTTCAGTATATCAAAAAACACAACTTCACATCATGTGCAGATCCAATATCTGATTTATAAATGATAACTTCCTTTATTTTTTCAGCTTATCAAATTCCTACTGTGCAGTCCTCACCTTTAAATATCACCTCTCTTCTTCCTCTCCTGTCCTGTTAGCCTCATTTTTCTATGTATGGATTAGCTCGTACTCGCTCGTACTCTTTTCTCTCCCTGGACCATTAAGAAGCTAGCAGACTCAGCGTGCAACAAACTGCACACAAACAGTTTGTATGTATGTATATTTGTTGACCTCAGAAATGCTACATTTGAAGTTGCCATTTAAAAAAAACAACCAGGATGTGGAACATTGCTTCTCCTGGATATAAAGTTAGACTAATGGAAAGATTCTCCATAACGACCTATGCCAGTGGTTCTCAAACTTTTCACAATGAGTACCACCTCATAAAATATATGGCTCTTGAAGTACCACCCTTATGGCCGACATTAAAGTGCAGTAGTATAGGCCTATTTAACACCACATACTGTTTACCCAAGGCAATTTTATTTCTTATATGAATGTTATTCATTTTAACTGTCATAAACAGGATGTGAAAAGTGATAATAATAACAACAGTACTGCATTAAAACATTCACAGCAGATATGCAATCTTTAAGTGATGACACATGAACCCTGCTTCCATGTCCAAACTATTCTACATTTATTAAGGCTGTTGTGTTTTTAACATGTTTTAATGTTTTGAATTTTGTTCTAATTATTTAGAACAAGCCCCTAAAAAATTTTGTGATCACTGTCATCCTCTCTTGGTTTTCATCTTTATTCATTTTAAAGCTCTATTCATTGTAAAATCGTACAATGTAGCTACAGCCCAGCCCATGCAGCAGTATATTAATGACTAACCTCGTATTGTGGATGGATTATCTCAGTTGTTCTCCTGACTGAAGTTTGGTCCATTTAAATCATCCCGACATGCCATTACATTTGTCCCTAACCATCGGGAACCTTCAGGTTAACTTTTATCGAGTGGAAAAAAGTTAGCGTTCATCCTCCAGCTTCACTGTGTTTCACCCCCCCACCACCACCACCACAATTGATGAAATGAATGTTAACAGTAATAAATTACAGGTTGAAATAAAATAAACTACTACCTCTTTGAAATAACAGAAAAACAAACCATCTTTATCATATAATAATTTTTGTGTAGTTGTTTTTTTTTTCCAGTGCAAGAATATTCAAAACTGCCTCATATTTTTTTAAATGCCTCTCTGTGCAAAATGGGTTTACAAATATGAACAACTCCCTGAGAGGAAAAATAAAAAAATTAAAGGTTTGTTGCAAAAAAAACCCACATTTAATCCTCACATCTTTTCAGTGACTGGTGTGAGCCTGCCTGTTGCTGCAGATCTTCTCAAACCTGGGTTGCGGTTTTGAGACAGCCACTCTGAGTTCATTTTCAATGTCCAGCTTTGATCTGTACTTCGTCTTGATTGAAGCCACAGCAGAAAAGCCTACCTCGCATAAGTAGGATGTGGCAAAAGGAAGAAGTATTGCCGGGGCTCTCTTACCCAGCAGTGGGTAATCTTTGTCCACTCCAATCCAAAATGCAGCCAGGGTCTTTGAATT